GAAAAGTGCGCAAAAGTGGAGTAATAGGCCTCTCCGCCTTTTTTTCATTTCGTTGCGGTTGCCTTTCTCAATTATTCATCCGCTGATTCTCTTTCCTCCGCACCAAGTACTCAGCTCCTTTTACTTTGTCGCCAAAATGCCGAGGTTTCATCTTCTGGTTGATGTCCTCATCGTTATCTTTCCGTTTTCTTGTCATTTCCTGCGACGGCGGCAGGAGCAGAAGCGGGGCAGCAGCGGCCGCGGGCTCCGCTCCGGCCGCCTTGCCCCAGCGCAGCGGCTGGCGCGCCGCCCCTCTGGGGCCGCCCAGGCGGGCGTGCCGCGGCCGACTCGGCCGCCTCCGACGCAGCGTCCGGTCATCTGGCTCATCCTCCTCTGCAGGCCGGCTGATTGAGTGGCCTGCAGGTGCCGCCCCCGCATTGTTCCTTCATCTCCGCAGCCGGCGCAGGGGGGCCGCATGGGCCACAGCAGAAGCAGCGGGAGGCAGCGCCCGCGGCGCGCCGCCGCCCCACGGCCGGGAATGGCCGCGGCGGCCGCCGTCCGCCGGCACCGGCCGGAGCACAGCCGGGCAGGAGCTCGGCCGGAGCGCCGCCGGAGCAGAGGCCGGCAGCGCCGGCAGGCGCCGCATCGGCCGCAGGCGCACGCAGGCGCCGGCAAGAGCCGGCAGGAGCCGGAAGGCGCCGCAGCGGCCGGCAGCGCCGCAGGCGCAGCGGCCGGAAGAGCGGCCCGGAAGCCGAAGCTGCGGAGCAGCAGCAGCCGGAGGGGGGCCGGCAGCGCCGGAGCAGGCAGCGGCCAGAAGCGGCGGCAGGCGTCAGGCGCACGCCGCAGGCCGGAGCGCCTCCACAGAAGCGGCAGGCAGCGCCGCGCCGCAGGGGGCCGTCAGCGACGCAACAGCGGTAAGCTAGGAGGCAGGCACGCCGCCGCAGGCGGCGGCCGCCGCCGCCCAGGCCGGCAGTGTGCGCCGCCCCAGCAGGGAGCAGGCGGCAGCGCGCCGCGCGGCCGCCGCCGCTACCGCCGGGCCGGCAGAGCCAGCAGGGCGCCGCAGTCGTGGGTGCACTTCATCTCCGCATATCATCAGCTTCATCAGCGCCTGCCCGGCATCCCAGTTCCTATCATCATGCAGCCTTGAGTGGCCGGAGCGCCCGTCTCAGTCTCTGCTTCCATGATTCCTCTGTCGCCAGTCAGCAGCTTCCTCCATCGCCTACTCTTCCTCTTCCTCTTCCTCAGGCATCATCTTCCTGGCATCGCGGCCGCCTCATCATCAGCTCTTACTGTGAAGCTTCTTCTCCTCAACTTCGTCATCCTGATCCTTTATTTACTTCTCCCCATCCTCCTAATCTTCATTTATCTCCTTCTCTCCTCCTCTTCCAGAAGCGGTATCGATGTTAATCAAAGTAATAAAACGAGGCGTCCCGTAGTCTATCGGGAAAGCCAGTCAAGTGGCGCGTAGTAGCAAGGGGTTCAGTTACCATCTGTTGGGTTCTTTGGCAAGTGCAGCACCCATATGACTCCCAGCCATTGTGTGTTGTTGTGTGTATTGTATATGAAGGTTAGATTCACATCTCTATATGTTAAAAATGATGTGCAACAGGTCGACTGATGGTGGCCTATAATATATGTAATATTATATATCGCGCGTGTGTGTGGTATATTATTGTCTATCAAACCCAAAACCATTGTCAGACAATCTTGAGGCGAGGGTTCGAGGCACTGGCGGCGGGTTGTTCCCCTGGGCAAGGAATTCCACCTTACCGCCTATTCCTGGGGAAGGATCATTGGTGGCCACCCAATCTAAGGCCCTCAGCCAACTAAGTGCTGTCAAGTCGAACTAGTTTTTTTTTTCGTTAAACATTGGTGATGACAAAAAAGAAAATAAGAAAAAAATATATCTTATGGATATAGCTGAATAGATATACATAATATACATATGGGTGCTTGTGTATGCATGTTGTATCTCTATTGATGCTATAAAAATAATTTATGCCCTAGGTGTAATGTGTATATATATATTTATTCCTATGTCTCTAAAATATCTGTCCATTTTATTATTAGTTTATTATTCCACTCATTATTGATTCCTTCATTTATTATTATTTATTGATTATCAGTCGTAGCAGACAGCATGGTGGTGCAGTGGTAGTAGAATTCTCGCCTGCGCGGGAGGGCCGGTTCGATTCCCGGCAGATGCCACCACTTTTAAAACATCGAGTCATTTCGTCACTATATCACTTAAAAGTTGAGCAATAATCAACAAAGTGTACGTATCGACAGTGGTTATACTTAAAGACAACAAAGTAAATTAATAATATTTTGTGTGTGCTGTTATTTTTTGCTGGGCGGTTCCTGTGTTTTGCTATAGTCTCAGCCAAGAGTAAGTAAAATAAAACAATATATATATTTTACAAAGAATGAAAGATTGACGAGAGAAGGAATATTAACATTTATTATGAAGTGCAGCCGGATAGATCTGCAAAAACTTACAAGTAGAAAGGTAATAGTGAAGGGCCTTAAGATATTGTTAACAAAATCACGGATACACTTCCTATGCGGTAATCTATCTGCATGAGGACCACTACGCGTACCCTCGAAATTCTTAAGGAAAGGAAAAGTGGCAAAAGGTGGAGTAATATGTTCATCTCGCCTTTTTTCATTCGTTCGGGTGCCGTTCTCACTTAGTCATCCGCTGCTTTCTCTTTCTCCACCAATGACTCATCTCCTAGTACTTTTCGACAAAGCCGTTTCTGCAGGATTCGTTAGCCTCAGCGTTATCTTTGTCCGTTTTAGGCAGGCCGGCGACGGCGGCAGGAGCAGCAGCGGGGGGCAGCATCTGGCCGCGTGCGCCGAGCCGGCCGCCTGCGCCCAGCCGCCGCCGGCGGCGCGGCCCGCCCCCGCCGGGGCCGCACCGGAGGCACGCGGCAGAAGCGGCAGCCGCCGAGGCTCCCGGGCCGGCAGACGGCGCCGACGCCGCGAGCTCACGAGCAGGGGCCGGCAGCGCCGCCCCCGCAGGGGCGAGGCGCCAAGCATAAGCACGGCAAGCATAGCCGCCGCCGGCCGCCGCCGCCCCACGGGCGGCAGAGCCGCCGGCTAGGTAGCAGCGGCGGAAGAGCCGCAGGCGCACCGCAGCTGCCGGAAGCGCCGCAGCGCCGGCAGCGGCCGGCAGCGCGCAGCGGCCGGCAGCCGCAGAGGTCCGGGAGCGCCGCAGGCGGCCGCAGCGGCCGGCAGCGCCGCAGGCGCAGCGGCCGGAAGCGCCGGCCCGGCAGCAGCAGCGGCCGGAGCAGCAGCCGGAGGGGCCGGCAGGCGCCGCAGCAGCGACCAGGAGCCCGCGGCCGGCTCAGCGCCCGCAGGGCGGGGCTAGCGCACCGGCCCCCGCATAGCCGGAAGCGCGCCCCCGAGCGGACGGCAGCGCCGCCGCCGCAGGGCCGGCAGCGCTGCGCCACAGCCGAAGCAGGCGGAAGTCACCGCCGCCGCCGGCGGTCGGCCGCCGCACGAACCGGCCGGCAGATCCCCATGCGAGGAGCGGCTGGCAATGCGAAGCGGCCGCGCCGGCGACCGCACGGGAGGCAGCGCCGCCGCCGTCCGGCCGCCGCCGCCCCCGCAGCGGCCGGCAGCGGCAGACGCCGCAGGGGCCGGAGCGCCGCAACAGCACGAAGATATGAGGCAGGGCAGCGCCGCCGCAGCGGCGGCCGACCGCCGCACCGGCCGGCAGCGCCGTCCCCAGCAGAGCGGGCGGCAGCGCCGAGGCCGCCGATCGGACCGCAGTCGGCCGGGCAGCGCCGGGCGCCGGATCAGCGGCCGGAGCGCAGGCGCGCGGGCAGCGGCCGGCAGCGCCGCAGGCGCCGCAGCGGCCGGCAGCAGCTCGGCCCGGCAGACAGGCAGCGGCCGGATCATACATTTAATCCTGATTTTCCTTGATATACTTCTCATCGCTGCTTCAATATCCTCTCTCCTCATTCATATCTTCCTACAATCTCCTCCTCCTCTTCCTCTTCCATCTTCCTCATCGTCATCTTCCCCTTCATCTATCTCTCATCATCATCATCTCTTTCTTCATCTTTCTTTCCTCAACTTCCGTCCATCCCCTTCTCATCTTCTTCCTTTTCTCCCCCTCCTCCTCCTTATCTTTCATCATCTCCTCTCCATTCATCTTCCAGTAAGCGAGTATTCGATGTTTACCAGAGTAGCAAAACTGGCGGTCGTCGGTAACGGGGAAAGCCATCAAGTGTGCGAGTGTAGCAAGGGGTTCAGTTACCTCGTGGTGGGTTGCTTTGGCCACAGTTGACAGCACCCCATTTGGCTCCCAGCCCTTGTGTGTTTTTGTGTGTCTGTGTAGTAGCTGTATGGATATTGAACATTCTCTATGATGTTAATTGATGTCAACGTCGACGATGATGGCCTATAATATATGTATATATTATATATATATATATACGCGCGGACTGGGTGTGGTATTCATTATATTCAAACCAAAAATAGTCACGCAATATGAGGCTGAGGGTCGAGTCATGGACGGGCGTGTTGTTCCCCGGAGGAACGTCCCTTACTTGCCTATTCCCCTGGGGAAGGTTCATTGGTTGCCACCCAATTATAAGGCCCCAGCCAACTACGTGATTTGTCAAAGGTCGAAAATTAGTTCGGGAAACATGGTGATGAACAAAAAAAAAAAGAAAAAAGAAAAAGAAAATAAGGAAAAAATATAATGTATTAGATGAATAAATGTCCATATCTTACATTTATTATGTGTTGGGATGCAGTGTATTCTATATGTATGCATATTAACAATTAAGGCCTAGGTGTATATATGTGTATAATATATTTATAATATAGGGTCTCTAAATATATCTGTCCATTTACTTATTAGTTTATTGATTCCATATGTGTGTATCTTTCATATATATTTTTAATGTATCCACTATGAACATACAGCTCGGGTGGTTCAGTTGTAGAAATCTCGCCTTGCCACGCGGGAGGCCCGGTTGATTCCGGCCGATGCAACACTTTTTAAAACATCCAGTCATTCGTCACATATCACTTAGAGTTTATCAAATATCAACAGTGTACGTTATCGATACATTGCGTATCGACAGTTGTATACTAACAGCCAAGTAATAATAATATGCTTGTTGTGTGTGCTTTTATTCTTATGCTGGATGTTCCTGGTTTTTCCACAGTCTACGCAGTAAAATTAAAAACTATAATCATATTTTACAAAGAATGAAAGATTGACCGAGAAAGGAAATTAACATGATTCTGTGAATGTGAAGGGCCGAATAATGAAATCTGCTTAACCCACAAGTAGAAAGGTAATGGTTTGAAAAGGCCTTCAAGGTATTTTAACAAAATCACGGATACAACTTCAATCGCGTTAATCTATCTGCACCGAGACACTCAGCTGTACCTCGGAAATTCTTTAAGTTAAAGTGTGCAAAGTTGGAGTAATATGGTCCTCCAATCTCTTTTTTTGAATTTCATTTAGGTTGCCGTGCTCTTCCTTATCCAATCTGATTTATCTTCTCCACCAATGATCTCCTTTTACTTTTTCGACAACAGCTTACGTATCATCCTCTCATTATCTCATCGGTTGAGAGGTGACATTGTCGTGATGGGGCCTGCGAATTGGCTTCATCATTCAGTATAATGTTGTGTATCAGAATCGCCAGGGACTCCTCGTCCCTCCGTCTGCCCGCGCCGTCTCGTCTCCCCCGCGGGCCGCCGGCCCGCCCCCGCGGCCGCGGCCCGCCGCCGAGCCGAACCGCAGCGGCCGGCACCGCAGCCGCCGCGGCCGAGGCAGAAGCGGCCGCAGCGCCGGAGCAGCAGAGGCCTGCGAGCGCGCCGACGGCTCGCCTGAGGCGGCAGCGCCGCACCGGCGGAAGCGAAGCAGCCCACGCGGACGCAGCAGGCGGGCCGCCGGGGAGCGGCCGCAGCGCAGCGGCCGGCAGCGCCGGCGCCGTAGCATCCGCCCGCAGCGCCCAGCGCGGCGCCGCGGCGACGCCGCCGGCGCAGCAGGCCGGCAGGCAGGCGCGCAGAAGCCGGCAGCGCCAGGCACAAGCGGCCGCAGCGAGGCTCACCGGCCGGCAGGAAGCCGCCGCCGCGGCCCCGCCGCACGCAGCAGCCGTGGCCGCCGGCAGCGCCGCAGCAGTAGCGGCAGCACCGCCCAGCGCGCCGCAGATGCCTGAGCGCCGACGAGCCGAGCGCCGGGAGACCCGGCGCGCGGGGGGCTCCGCGGGGAGCGGAGGGCAGAGCCGAGGCGCCGCCGCAAGGGGGGTGGGGGACCCCGGCAGCGAAGCGAAGCGGCCGGCAGCGCCGCGGCTTCCGGCAGCTCCTCCGGGGGACGCCGAACAAGCAGAGGCAGGAGCGCAGCCGCCGCAGGGGCAGTGGGCGGGAGAGCGCCGCATAGGCAGGTCGCGGCACCACCCCCCCTTCCGCAGCAGCGCTCCATCTGCGCGGTCCTCAGCCTACCGTCAGCCCGTGGCCTCTCCTCGACCCGCCGCGAAGCGTAAGGCTGCCGGCGGCGAATCGTCCGTAATCTCAGCTTAGTTGAGGCCTCAGCAATCACCTTCCTGCATCTCGTATCCTCCACCAGTCAAACCAGGATTTTCCTGTCATGCTCATATCCTTCTCCTCATCATCATCATCCAGTAAGCGATTTATTCGAGGTTTAAACGAAAAGTAAGTAGTAAAATGAACGCGTCGTAGTATTAACGGGAAGTGGCGCGTCGTGCGGGTCTTTGATAGGTTGTGTAGCACCCATTTGCATTCCCACCTGTGTGTTGTGTGTTGGTGTATGGGTATGTTAGATTGACCAGATCTATGTTTAGGCTTTTGTAAATGTAAATTATGCATGTAGTATATCATAGCATTGTCTACGGATTGGGTCGGGACAATGTATAGCGACGTCGCCTGATGGTGCCTTTAAATATATATCTATGTATTTGTGTGAATACATTATATAGATATAGCATAGACCTCAAAAGTTGTCCGGCATTGAGGCGAAGCGTGGAGTTCGAGTCACCGGCCCGGGCGGTTGTTCCCCAGGGCAAGGAACTTCACCTCAATGCCTATTTCCATAAGGAGGATAATGGTCAGCCACCCAACGTCTTAGGACCCGCAGAGCGAAGTAGTTCGTTAAGCATCGGTGATGGCACAAAAAGGGAAAAAAACAAAAAGAAAAAAGAAAAGAAAAGAAAAATGGAAAATATCAATAAACTTATGAATATATATACATATATGTGTGTTTGTTGTGAATGGGAGTATATGTATGTTATTCACAATCGATGCTATGGTATAAAGATATATAAGCTGTATTCATTCTATATCTATGGGTTTATAAATATATCATTTCCTTATTAGTGCGTGATTCATTGATTTTTAT